ATGTAAAGATAAATCTGAATGAAAACACTGTTCAAATTCCGGAAAATATTCCAGCATAATATATTGGAGTTCGAATTTTTTACATGTGAACTTCCAACATAATATACTGGACTTCTAGTATTTTATGCTGGAACTCCAATATATTATGATGGATTTCCGGTATAAATATACTGGAACTCAATCATAATATATTGGAGTTCCAACATAATATACTAGTCCAGCATAATATGCTGGAAGTTCATACACATGTGCTCCAATCTCTAGTATATTATACTAGAACTTTCCGTGTGCTGGAGTTCTAGCATAATATGCTGGAAGTTCATATACAAGTGCACCAATCTCCAGTATATTATGCTAAAATTTTCCGTGTTGCAGCAAAATAGTAGCTATTTTTCAATGACTTTGCAAATGCTGGCTATTTTTCAATTATCAATCCGAAAACTGATTAGCCCGTGCTATTTTTACTTTAGGCTATGATCCAACTTAACTTATCTTGGCCCCATTCATCTTAGCCAAAGTAACTTTTGAGCGGTTCATTTGACCCGCCCGTCATTAATTCAACAATCCGTCAAAAATCGGTCCAATTCGTTCATTTGACACCCTTAATTTGATCTGACACACGGCCGATCAAACCTATCCTTAGCAATTTTATCATCACGGCAACAAAGGCGGAGTAATGTAGCAATGAAGATTCCCCTCCCCTGCGTGTGGCGTGTGACGGCACAATTATTGGCTTGTCGTGTTTAAAATTATTTGCACTTTGGGGTGTTGGACAGTTGCGTGGACCACGAAAGACGGACCGTCTGATGCGCCGAGCTGCGCTGATAGCTTCGAATCGACGGCTCGAATCAAATCATTTTAGCTAGATAAGGGTTTTTAGCCTAATGTGAAGTATAAGTCATCTCTTTGCCTCGTCTTGGCTGTGTTGTTCTTACTTTTGTCTTAATCTTTTTCACTATTTGCTAATTCGTTTAGTCCATTATAATATTGTTTTAGTACAAAATAACTGTAGCTTAATGAAACTAAGAAGAAGTTAGTTATTCTTTTCAATTCTACCTTGATTCAATAAATAGTTTATACAATTTTTAAAAAGAATAACGTATTTATATATGGGCGGAGCTAGAGTGCCGAGAGGGGATTCTGCCGAACCCAGTAACTTTGGTTTGAATCCTGTATTTGTCTTTAAAAATTTATTGACTATGTATAAATTATTAATTTAGAACCTAGTAATTTAAATACGATTAAAATCTCGAACTCATAAACTTAAAATCTTGGCTCCGCCTCTATTATATTATTGTAAAATAATTTAAGCTTAAACTTCCTTTTTTATGAATAAGATGTATTTATAGCCACATAAATATAAATATGACATATTTAAGGACATAACTTTTGAAAATCGTTATTTCTTTCTTAAAATGCGTATGTAATCTAATTATGTCACATAACATAAATTAAAATAGAAAAAGCAGTAATGAAAGGGTAAATTTTGTACTTATTCCGCTTTTGCAGAACATAGATAGCGCCTTTTACGATTGCTAAAAACCTAAAGGTCAAAATTAGAAAACGAAATCACAAGTTCATGCAACCAACCATAATTGTATGATTTATGATACGTCAATTAAGCTTTTAAATAGGTTTGAAAGTGACGGATGCACCATTGTCGAATAAAAATTTGAGTAAATGCTGGAGTAGAAATTAAACTAACCCAAAATGTTGAAAGCCAAGATGTGCTCTCTCCCCAAATCTACCGATACAACTGCCTAAACTTTGAGTTATAATTAAAATATATACCTGTTATTTAAAATATATTTATATATATACATATATTTTTTCGAAGTTATCGGAGGTCAGTGACCCTCCTACCCTAAGGGTAGGTCTGCCTAAGAGTGTAAGAATTTAATTAAAGGATTCGAGCCCGGGACGTAGAGTTACCTTCATTTGAACGTGCTTTACCCTCAATGTGGAATCTTCCGACTTGAGTCGAATTTAATCGTACCCTAATATGAGTACCGGACGCCGAATGAAAAATTTAAAAAAAGAGGTGAAAATTCAATTAAAGCTTAAGGTTAATTGGAGAAAATTAATTAAGTATATAGTCAATTAGTCATATATAGAAAGCAAAACTATAAATACACACAAACAAAAGCCGTGAGTCGCAAGTAATAGTAAGGGCTTCGTCTTGTTTTGAAGTTACAACTCAATTGCCTATATACTGACGCCATCTTAACGAGTAACCTTATTCTAAAGTTTTGCTCACTACGATTCTCTTCAATCATTTTCTTAATCTTTTCCAATCATTCACTTCTCCATTTCCCTATAAATTCCTCTCATTTCCTTCCCTTATCCCAATTCCTTTTCCTACGATATCCATTTCTCATTTTTCCATGGCAGAGGAATTTCAAGAATCCGAAGTCATTTTTCAAGAAAATATTACAAAACACGAAGTTGATGAAAGAAATGAAGAGTACTACGACTTTCAAAATACAAAGAAGCTACCGAAGAGAAAGAAGCAAAAGAGAATTTCCAATTCTGTCCCCGTTAATATCCCGGAGAATTTATCGAGAAATAATTCATGGGTCAAGTGCGTGAAAAATGAAGACGAAAGCGACGGAGAAATGGTGCCGCGCCACATCATCACCGGCCGGAGAATCGCCGGAAAAATGATGACATTTTCTGTTTGTACAGGTTATGGAAGAACACTTAAGGGAAGAGATTTAAGTCAAGTAAGGAATTCAATTCTTAGGATGACTGGTTTTCTGGAAACGTAACTTTAGAGTTTAGTTGAGAGGAAAAAAGGAAGAAAAAAATATATTTTTCGTTCTTTTTTTTGAGTTCCAATTATTGGAATCTCATTTTCATTCATCAGTGTAATGGAGAAAATACAAAGAATTCAAACAAAAACTCATTCATCTAGTTAGAAATTAAATTCGAATAAAATATCCAAAAGGAATATTAATTACAATCATAATTGAATTTTATTATCCTTATTTGTAAGTTACATTTATTTAGCTAAGGTGAAAAACCTCTCCTTCTGCTAACGTCATGACACAAGTCGCATTTGAAGTAGAAGAGTAATCCGTTCAGCATTAGGTGGATTCAGAATTTTAATTTTGTAGGTTTACTCGAGATGACACTGAAGCCACTGATCATTTAAGTTATTAAGATTTATATATATTTAATATTAGGTTCTTAAAACACATACAGACTCATAGCCAAAGTTATTAAATTTGACAAAATCCATAGCTTAAATGTTACATTAAAGAGTCTGATCTTGGCTCTTTAACGTGGTATTCATTCTCATTCGACTCCTGAAATTACCTCTCGAGTTATGATAATTGATCAAGGTCAAAATACTGTTAAATATCCCATATCGATAATGACTCCTCATATGGTTTTAGACAATCTTCACAGGATGTATTTGCAAATCCAGGTTGTTGGTTTGGAGTAGGTTTCTGTTAAGATGCTGCAGAAATGCACATTGCGCCAGTGATGGCACACTGTTGGTGTTTTTTGTGATTTTTTTGTCTCATCTTCAGACATAGCCAAACACAAACAGCTGGTTTTAAAGGGTGACAAGACTTGTGTTTCTTTTGGAAATGTGTAATAATTGTGAAATGTACATAAATAAATGTATGAAAAATACACATCAATACATTGTAGTATGAATTTTTTAATAAAGTTTATATTATTCAATTACTAACAAGAACAATGAAAAATAGGAAGTCCGTTTTCTTGGACTGTCCTATCTTTTTATTTGGTTTGATACTCGGAATTCGGTATTCAGTTAGGACTCGATTAATCCGAATTTATGCTCGAATTCTCCCTATATTTGGGCCAATATTTGTGCATTTTAACTAATTTCACGAGGTATTTGCTATCTTACATCAACATAGGTATAAAGCTCAGACAAATAAAAAAATTAACTTTCAATAATATATTAATTATTTCTTAATCTTGAAGTTGTTTTAGCCTTAAGAAAATGACTTAATCCCTGCTGGATGCTAGGATGCCAACAGGTTTCATGGATAAAGTCAGAAAGTTTATCCAACGATTAAGCAAAACTCATAGGATAGCTATATAGGGAGAATATTTTCCTTAAATTTCTACATGTGAAAATCTGACATAACATAAGTAACAAGGAATAAAATAAGGTTTAAATAGGATTAATGATCTGAAAGTTTGTTGTTTAAGGTACCACGTTGTCGACATGATTACTGCACATTCCGGCAGAAAAGACAAATTAAGACACTATCAGATTGAGATTATAAAATAACTAAAAGTCAAAAACAGTATGATGATTTGGATCTCCAAATCTGATAGGCGTTTCGAAGATATGTTAACAACTGTTATTTTTAACCAGGCTAATAATGATGAGCTAAACCCAGCCTGAAAATTTTAAAATTCTATTGTTATATATATATTATAATATTTTATAATATATAATATTTTAGGCGATTCGAGGCCGGTCACCTGAATTCATGAAGATGACATGGACATTAGTATACAAAAAATCGAAAATCGTGCTGAATTCCTATTTTATGCCCCTAAAACGCTAAAAACGAGGAACGTTTACGGAAAAGCAATGACTATTGTTCATTAGGTCGTTTCTGATGGGCCACAAAAGTTTAGGCGTGTCACGACCCAATTTCACCTGTAGGTCGTGATGGCGCCAACACTACAGCTAGGCAAGCCAACTAATAAATTAAGCATACATTGATAAAATTTAAAACC